TCACATGTGAGGATCTCAGGTTGAAGCCAGCCTGGGCAGGAAAGTCTGTGAGACTCTTCCAAAAACTACTCAGAAAAAGTCAGAAATGGTGCTATGGCTCAAATGGTCGAGCTCTAGCCTTGACCAAAAGCTCAGGGACAGTGCCCAAGCCAAGAGTTCAAGCTGCAAATTGTGTGTGTGTGTGTGTGTGTATTCCACTGGAGTCTAAATTAATATTTGCCTCAAGTTTTACTTCAGCTTGTCAAATTTGGAGACAGTTTCAGCTGACTACCTGGGACTCTGACCCCTCCTAGATGCCACCGTTCCTTCACTGGTCTCTTGGCTTCTTCGCACGTCCTTCCTGCTCTTCCTTCTGCACATGTGGAAGCACAGGGTTGGTTTTTTCGTTTGTTTGTTGTTGTTATTTTTTGTTGGTTGGGGAGCCTGGGCACTGTCCCTAAGGTCTTCAGCTCAAGGCCAGTGCTCTACCACTTGAGCCACAGCGCCACTTCTGGTTTTTGTGGGGTTTTTTGTTTTTTGGCTTATGTGGTGCTGAGGAATTGAACCCAGGGCCTCGTGCATGCAAGGCAAGCGCTCTACCACTGAGCCACCTTCCCAGCCCCTGCACAGGGTTTTCAGAGTGAAGAAACCAATGCTGTTAAGCAACCGTCTCTGGTTTTCAAATCCATCCTTCCAGGCTCTGCTTTGTGATGCTGTAGCTAAGACTTGCAAATCCCAGTTCTGCTTTGCCACCTGCTGTCCCCTCATTCTGACCACAGCAGGTGCTGGACACAAGGCTGCGCAGGCAGGGACTGTTCCTCCTGCTTGGTCGCTATCACCCCAGCAAGGGGGTTCTTTTTTTTTTTTTGTCGGTCGTGGGGCTTAAACTCTGGGCCTGGGCGCTGTCCCTAAGCTCTTCAGTTCAAAGCAAGCACTCTACCATTTGAGCCACAGTGCTCTACTACTTGAACCACAGCACCACTTCTGGTTTTCTGGTGGTTTTTATTGAAGAGTTTCACGGACTTTCCTGCCCAGGCTGGCTTTGAACTGCGATCCTCAGCCTCCTGAGTAGCTAGGATTACAGGCATGAGCCACCGGCACCAGCAAGGTGTTTCTGAGGCCTCAGTTCTTCTGCAGTTCTTGTAGTCCTCACAGAGTGTCTCTGTGGCCCTCTATTGCAATCCCCCACAAGCCCTTTTAACCAGCAGTTGGAAATGGGACCGACCGTGAAACTGGTTTGGGGGGCCCCAGGGGGCGTATGCCTCTCGCCAGCAACAGACACCCCAAGGTCCTGTAAACAGGGTCTTTAATGATTTTGGAACAGGGGAGTATGTGTTACAGGCACTAGCAAGTGAAACAATCGTAGGATGAGTGTGACTTCCTTACCTTGCTGAGGCAAGCAGCAAACTACAATCTGCATATGCCTGTATCTAACTCCGAGGCCCAAGGAAGTTTGGGTTTTGATTGACCCACATTTAGGATAGAATTTTGGGTCTCTGTAACGCTAGGAGCATTGATCTTTCTCCGGCCACTCCCAGCTTTTTGAGTCAGAGAATGGCATTCCAATTCTCTTTATCAGACTCATAGCTCAGCATACCCGGATTCCCACAGCCCTCAGAGACTCATTGCAGCTGAGCAGCTCCATTTCCAGAGTCAAAGAAAACAAAACAATTCAAAATTAATTTTTAATTAAAATAAAATACTCCAGCAATAACAGACAAGAAGAATATACATACCATTCCCTTTTGTCGGTCATGGGTTTTGAACTCTGGGCCTGGGCTCTGTCCCTGAGCTCTTCAGCTAAAGGCAAGTGCTCTGCCACTTGAGTTACAGTGCC